CCCCCCCACCAATCGGCCCTCCACCGCCGCCGGACGCAATATTCGCGGGTTTCCCCTTGTTCCCCGTCGTTCGGCCTACGGCCGACGCGACGACGGGGTGCGCGGGACCCGGCGTTTAAGCGGTGTTGTCAGTTCGGGCTCACCGCCGGCGCGACGATTTTGCGCGCGCGTCCTATTCGGCCCGGTCGGTTCGTTTTTTGGCGCCGCGCAACGGCACCAGTGCAGTGTACGCCAGCGCTCACAGTCACTCGATCAGTCGACCGGCAAAGTCATCGGAGGCCGGTTGAACTCCCATCGAAAGCGCGTGATAACGCACACACACCACACACACACTCACACACCACACACACACACACACACACACACACACACACACACACACACACACACACACACAACACACACATACACTTAAACTCATATACAAACATACCGCATACACTGACACTGACTCAAATTTACACACACGAACATGTGAATACATGTACACAAACACGCACGACATACGCGCGCGAACAGAAATATTCGCGAACGACGTGATTAGTGCGCTCGTAATACGCCGGCGACGTGTTATACCGGTTTGTGAAAAATAATAATTATAATAATAATAAATTTTTTTTATCGTTTCGCGTGTCCTCTCTGTCGTGTGCCGCCGTGTTACACACGCACTCCAGGCGCCAAAATGAATTCATATAGCTAAGGTATTAAATGAAAAAAAAAGGAAAAAAAAAATACAAAATACAAAAAAAAATTTTTTTTTTCTTCTAATCTTTAAGTTTTTTTTTTCATTTTGATATATTTTACATATTGTTGTTGTCTTTTACGTACGCATTTCATAAAAGGTCGTCGCGTATTTTTTTTTATTATTATTATCATTTAATTCGGTGTGCATGCTCAGTGTGTCGAATTAGGCAAAGTGCAAACGAAATTGTGTTACGACCAAACTTCCGTCATATTTTATTAGCCGGTACTAATGGTGTTACGAAAAGGAATTTCGCAAAGGACGATAACTACTAACATACAGTGCGTATAACCATGTGATATCTTTTTTAAATGTTATTTAGTATTTGTATAGTTTATGTGTATGATCTCATAGATGACGCACAACTATATTGCCAATATATTATGTCGATAGCAGATTAGAAGAATCGCCATTCGGCCAATGTACGTACTCCTGGTACTTTGATAATGTTTATATACATGTAATCTTATCAGACGCTTACAATATTTTTTTCTTATCATCGGAATTGTGTTAATTAATACAATCGAAAAAAAGTTAAGTTATCAGCAAATATTATTACCGGAAAATTCTCGATTCAAATTTGTGTTATTTCATTTAAAATCTGATATTGTTTATCGTATGAAACTCCAGCAGAATAAATAAAATTACAGTTGTTTTGTATGGGCATGCGCGTCTTTAAATTGCATACACGTAACGCCAGTCAATGATAGCTGATAGCTAACGGTCGACAAATAAATAATAAATAAATATAGCTCAATTAATTGTAGAATCTAATTAAAAACGATATTCTTACTTTCCAAAACCATATATTATAATCGCATACATTTTAAAATAACACAATAAGTAGTTTTATTTTGAATAATTATTACAAATATTTGTTATTCCTTATATAAACCTAAATATTGAATTTGTACATTTCTTATTTGGGTACCATTATACATGATTTTTTATTTAAGTGATTTAAAAATATACCAATGTCGATCTATGGAAACTCAAGGTTGTAATGTAATTATCCGCAATCTGATTGGTTTTGAATAGAAAGGACTTGTGAATACTTTCCTGTATCACGCTCTAAGTCGAAAACAAGGATAAAGTATATATTGTTAATCCAACAGTTTTTTGTTATTTTTGGGAAGTAAAATAAAATATCTTCGATATTCATATAAAATTGCAGTACGTATTTCATAACGTAGTCTATATTCAATATAAAAGGGTAATATTGAGGGTGTATAATTTATTTAATCAATCAAAATAATTCCAAGTAGATTATTTATAGTTGTATTTCATTATGACAGTATTGATATCAATTTTAGTTATTATTTTTTTTTTGTAATACTTAACTGTTTAATTCATTTTTACCATATTTGTAATATTTTTTATATTAAAATTGTAGTTTGACTACGGCGCTATACTAAATAAAAAAATATTTTCAATCGAATAACCTAAAATTCTTGAATGATAAATAATTGAAATTGAATTACTTTTATATTATATTATTATTATTATATTTATAATATTTTGTTTGCAACAATGTATTTCTAGTTTAACTATAAATATAATTATAAAAATTTTTTGGTCATAATATATTTTAATTTATAAAAACTAAATAATATTTATTCGGTAACTACTAATGACTTTATTTAAAAAATAAATATAGAAGTAGATATTAGATTTTTTGGTAATATTCAATAAGTATTTTATGTATAGTATGAATATATCAGTTTATTAAAAAAATTATACAAATTGAAATAACAAACAGTTCGTTGCTATAGTATCTGACCGTTCGACGGTAACAATTTTTTTAATTATGTTTATTTTCAAAAATATCTTCAGACTATAATATTTAATAAAAATTAACCATTAACTGTATAAAATGTTTTTAATTTAAAAAATCACACTATGTAAATACTTTAAAATGAAAATTCTAGAAAAAAAACCAAAGGTAATATTATTATTCCGAGGCCTTATTTCTTACACGTAACCACGATTCATGATACCACTTGAAATTTTTAAAATTTTTCTTTTATGTCAATTACCAATATTTATTAAATCTATAAGTATTAAAATGTATTTTTTAAACAAGCATACAGCTTTTTTATCGAAATAAAATACATAATTGTAAAGGAATAATTATTTATTGTGTATTTTTATAAAATAAAATATAAATGAATATAAAATATAAATATAAATAAATTAAATTTTAAGTGAATCGAAATGTTTTTATACAATATATGGAATATGAATTATAATGAACATTTATATTTTATAATACTAATACAATTATTAAATTTTTAACTAGATAATTCTTAAATTTATTCAATGTATTGGGAAGTTTGACCACATGATTTAAGGGGGTGTTTATGGTACTCGATGTTTATTGTGTTACAATATACGATGGCGTATGTACATATTTATGACGTATCACGTATGCTATATACAACATTAAAATACATAGTATTAATAATTGTTGTATAAATACTTGATTTATATACTTTTATATATTTATTTATTATTATTATACATTATTATTATTTATTTAATTTTATATATTTAAGAACTTCTTAATATAAACAAATATAAGAATAATTTGTTTTGAGGTTTATTATAAAGTATATAAACATAAATTGGTACTTATTATCTGGTAATTTGTGTATACATATTTATACGATATAAAAAATATTTTAAGTACTATAGTTAATTATTGGTTAGTCAAAATAAATTTTAATTTCTATTAAAGTATGTCTAGATACACTTCCAAAAGAAATCGTTTAAACATTTTATGCACCGATCTGATGTTTAATGTAATAACCTAAAATGTATCGGTACAAATATGTTATTACAAATGTATAATACATAATGTAATTTGTAAACAAAATATAGGTTCAATGAAATTTTTGTTTTTTTCTCTTTTAATTACAAATGAGAAATTAATATAAAGTATAAGAGAAGGCTACTGATATATTAGTCAGTAAAATGAACTACGTTAATAAGTTATTTATTTACAATTATATAATAATTATAAATAAATAATAATAAGTGGTATCGCCCGTTATTTCATGCACTATCGCTCGCACTTATAAATTGATTGCCAACTGTCTACCAAACAACCAATATCCACACAGAAATATATATTTTATGTAGCACAATAGTAGGTATATAAATATTTTTCTAATAAGTAAAATATTAAATAATTGGTCATATTTTTCAAATTGGAAGTATTAAAAAATTTAAATTTTTTTAGTATTATAGTATAGTTGTTTTTATTATCTAGATCTATTGAAATATTCTTAAAATAAAATGTAAATAAAATACAATTTTTATTCTACAATTAATTAATTCTACAATCGTCCTGAATATCAAAATTAAATAAATTCAGAATATGTAATGAGTAGATAAACCATTTTTAAAGTGTGAATTTTAATAGCTATGTATTAATTTATTAAGTGTTTTTTAAATAATTGATGAGTATGATGTTATTTATTTAGGTTAGCAAACATTTCTAAAACAATGATATACTTGAAAATAATGTATTTCATTCTTATATAAACATATTAAACTACATACATGCTTTATTATGTATTATAATCTTAAAAATATGTTTATTAGTTTAATCTTTTTACTATAAACTGTTTTATGTAATCATTAAATTTGATTTATATCATTATATTTTACTAATATTAATATTTTGTGAGGGATGAAAATAATCACATAGGAAAGGAAAATATATTAATTTTAAACAGAATGCAATATTGCATAATGCAGTATTATATTTAATTTAAATAATAAACTTTAATTCCTCTTTATAACGTTTTTTCTCCTTACAAAATAATTGTCAAAAGTTAATAAGTTAGAGAGTATCCGAATCAACCATAGTTTCTGAGTGTTTTTATTTTTGAATCGTCACCTTCACTTAAATATTAGGTATTAAATACCAATCACAAGATTTATTTAAATTTCAATCGTTGTGGTTATTAAGAATTAATTTCATAATGCAATTAGTTAGTTTATATATATATATATATATATATATATATATATATATATATATTACTTTAAATTATACTTCTAAATCAAAACCAATATTCATTTAAATAACTATATACCTAATAATATTGTAATAATTTATTGCATTATAGAAGTGCAAAAAATATAATTATTAATAAAACTGGTTTTATATTATATAAAAATCGTTAATTGTTATTAATTATTTATGTATAGAGTTAATAATGTTATTATTAATACATAAATGGCTATACAATTATAGTTATTACACTATTGATTTATTTGATACGTATTAGTTTTCTTTTCTATATACTTCATTATACAAAGTTATAATACAAATTGGTTTAATAATCATATATTTTTAGCAATAAAAATTATTAATAAATATAATTTGATTAATGAAATTAAAGTAAATAAATATTTTACTACATAGTAATAGTAGCAGCGATGATTACTATTTCGATTTTAGTGACAGAGTACTTAATAATCAGTCGTTTTACTATAATCAATTTGTTATTATCATTAAATAAAAGATCAAATTGAAATTCATTGAATATTGAATAAAAACTTTTTTATTTGTTTAATTATTATTTAAAAATATGAATATGTTATTCAAAATATTTATCATATTCTGTAAAATGTGCATATTTTATATATATAAACCACAAATCATGATTTTGATAGTTGGGTGGATGAGTGGGTGGACATAGTACAAATCGTAATCAAATATTTATATGTGCACTATTTTAATTAAGCTACGTTTTTATTTGGTTAAACGATTTATATAAGTTGTTTATATAGTAATTAAAAACAGTTTAAGTATAAAATGCATTTTAACTATAAAAGTCCATTGTTTATTCTTCAATGAAGTTATTATAAAGTCACATATCGATACTCTTACATAATTATTTTAATACTAAAATGGACATGTAATAATAAATAATTTTTGATAATCAAAGTTACTTACTGTTCAAATTGAATAAATATTGTAGTTATATATGTATAAATTATACCAGTAAATATTATAAATTAGCTTTTAAGTAAATATGTTTAGAAGTGTAATTAGTAGAGTTAGTTTGCAAAATGTATAACTGTCAAGGCCTATTTATAATAATACTTACGGACTTTTAAGAATTTACCCTTAACACGGCGCATAAAAAAATAAAAATATTATAATTTTCCTAGAAATTAACAATATTTTATTAATTATGTTTATAATTATATTACTTAAGATTTAAAACTAATTGTTATTATCTATATATATATGTCTTCAAATATGGATGGAAAAATAGACAATACTAATCTTCTTTTCAGAAGAAGATGCTTCCTTGTTGAAAATCATTAGAAAAGATCAAAAAATTAAAATTACCTCTTTCTCAATTATAAAATCATATCAAGTCTAACAATAAATAAGAAAGTAAAAACAAAAATATTTAGACAACACTTTTCCAAAGTTTTTAAGGATAATTATAATATTAACTTTTCTATAGAAAATCAAATGTCAGAATTTCAAATTATTCGTATATAACTAATAATAAAAGTTATAATCGCCTATTAGTTTTCTATAAACTACCACATTCATATTGTTAGCGTAATTTTTCGAATCTCTAATCTTCTCCGTTTTATGGAAATGTTTAGTAATTATTTTATTTTTTGTCACACAATTTGGATAGTGAAAATGCCACTCGGTTATACATCAAATATCCCTATTTGTATTACTATTTACAGCTCATTAAAAACAATTTTATACTTTTGTAGTATTCCAAAACGATACGCATGTTTTCAATGATAAATGAAACCCTAATCTTATTTTCTAAAATCTTTCTTAAGTACCTATTCCTACCTATTTTTTATATTCTACATGAGTAAATGTTCTTTTGCTATCAGATCTAGATTAAAGCTCTTCTTGAGTATATTGTTAATAATAACCAGTGTTCTCCTAGGCCCAGCCACTTTTTAAGTTATACTTCGATATCCAATTCATGCACTCGGAATACGCCATCAACAAAGTTATTTCACATGTGTTGATCCTGTTGCAGTCTCGAAATCTCTTCAAAATAATTTTAATAATTAATCTCTTTTACATTCTAACTGGCGTGTCAAAGTTAATGAAAACAAATCTACCCATAAAACTTTTGCTTTATACTATATTCAACACTCACTAGTATACCAAACAATAAATACATACCAAAGTCGAATATAGCAAATTATCTAGTCTTAACTTTTGACAAACTTCAGACTTTTAGTTGAAGCACATTCATTTATCAGAGATAAAATTAAATTAAAAAGACTACTTTTTCTATTTCAACTCATCCTAGGAAAATATTATAGAACTCTTCAAAAAACACATTTATAATTTCTTGCTTAAACCATTATGAACGTATACAACTTGGGCTATAATTAGAAATCTACCTTTAAAATAAAAAAAATGTCCAATCTAAAATCGTTAAAGATTCATAACTATCAAAATACACAACTAAGCTCCTCCGTACATTAAAACCTTGCTAAATATCACTGCTTCAAATTAAAAAAATTGCCTTAGAACAAATATTTATGTTCGTAACAGTATATTTTCTTTGTTGCTAGGAACCTTCTCAGAAGACTTAAAACAGTTCTAAGTCCTTATTTTATAATTAAATGTATGCCATAAGGATTCAATTCATACCAAAGTGCCATCACTCGATGGTTATATTTTCATATCTATATATCATTGTATTATAAAATATCTCGAAAATATCCCTTATTATAATTTTACCATATATGTATTTAAATTTTATACATTTCTAAATTAAAAAAAAATAATAATAAATTGCATACATTTTGAGTATTCATTTTTTATGTTATAATTATTCATTATACTTTTTGAATGCCGTCAAGAACCAGTTAAACTGTCTAAAATATACATTGTTATATTTGTAATACATAACTAATATAATACATTTTATACCCATACAATTATCACAGTGAGTCAGCTAAGTGGCTAATAAATTTTAGGGTGGTCACAGGTTTTACCCTTGATGTTACAACTTGACACTCACTAATACAATTATGAATTACTTGTGTATAGGGGACAGCTAATTATAAATTTCGAATGTTATTCATTTGACAACCAAACAAAAATTTGTTTTAAAGAATTCAATGAGTATCGTTAATGTAGGTTTAATGTACACGGAATCCGCGCGTTATTTAATGGTGTCTTGGATATGTATTTTTAACGGGAAGAAGAATGAAATATTAAACATACCATAAATATATTGAAAATAATAAGCAATATAAAAAATACCTAAATCACTTTAATAATGTAAGATAAATGGCTATCGCCCATTGTAGTATTTATTCCTTGTATTTACACTACTGCTATGATCTACATCAGGTTACGGTTTTAATCTTTAAACAAATTATTATTTATTTTATCTGAATTTCATATCGGACGCTTCGGGTTGCCCACTGCTGACGAACGAAATATCTACTTTGACAATGATAAGTCCGCGGCAGGGAGGATCTGAAGCTTGTTTAAGGAAGGGGTAAATAGGAATATTAATACTATTATACTATTATTTGTTATCATGAAACTTGCTATCAATAGAAAGATATACATAGTATTCGATAGTAAATGTTTACAAGTACTTACTATATATATATCTGTGTGACTGTACACCTATATCAAAAATACTAAATAAATCTGTGCTAAAAAAAAGTCTAAAGGAGAGGGGTTATATATTGTGAAAAATATAAACGATATCTTTATTTTTTTCGTCGTTTCTCTATGATACGGATATTCGAAAATTTGCTCAGCATATTCTGCGGCTTTAACATACATTTCGAAGTCCAAAGAAGGGGTTAGACGAAAAGTTTGGTTGTTGTGACACTTTCCCTTGGGAAATCCTAGAAAGTACAGCGTACGCACATATATTTTATAAATTATTATATTTATAAGCTTAGCATATAGCACTCATGTTGTGGACTTTTGTGTGCGCAGGCTATCTCAGACATGGGAAGCGAGCACTACTGTCTCCGGTGGAACAATCATCAGAACAACTTACTGGGCGTATTCAGTCAACTGCTCCAAGAAGAGTCCCTCGTGGACGTGACGCTCGCCTGTTCGGAAGAAGGCCGCCTGATCCGCGCTCACAAGGTGGTATTATCGGCGTGTAGCGCTTACTTCAAGGCACTGTTCCTAGACCACCCGACTCGACATCCGATAGTCGTGCTCAAAGACGTACAGTTCGCAGAGCTTCGTGACCTAGTCGAGTTTATGTACCGCGGCGAAGTGAACGTGGACCACAGACAGTTGACCACTCTGCTGAAGACGGCTGAGAGCCTAAAGGTCAAAGGGCTGGCTGACATGGCTCGCCCCAGTGACGGTGACGAAGACACCGTCGGCGACCGCGTCGAGCTTTTGCCCGCCGACCGGGACGACGAGCCCATGGAACCGGAAGATCTGCGGCCGTTGAGTCGGTGCCGGACGCCGGTGCCGACCGAGAGCCGTACCCCGTCGCCGCCACCCACCGAAAGCGACGACAACCTGTCCATGCAGAGCGAGCCCAGCGACATGACCACCGTCGACAGACACGACCGACCGTCTCCGTCCGGTTCCGGTCTTCCGCCGGTTCAACAAGTTCCTTTGGTAAGTAACCATAATATTTCTATTTTATTGTTGTTTTTCATTCGTATGCGTATTACTATAATATAGTACATTCATTGTTTGACTTACGGTTGGATAGACTTTGTTCTTCATTTTTAAACAATTTCGGCTCATTTTCTTAAATGTAAGAGTTGTACGAGATGTGTACGGTCATGACTTGAGAAATACTTATTTTTATTATACTATATGTTTGTTTGTTCAATCCGTTTCTAATATTTTTCCAAGTCAAACACAGTGCATGGAAGGATAGGGCCCATTTACGGTATGAAATGTTTTTTTTTCTACTAGAACCACCCTTCCAGCTATAACGTTGAATAGAATTGGTAAACTTCAAAATATTTACGTGATTTACCCAAACACACTCACATTAAACACACACACACACACACACACACGCGCGTGCGCGCGTACATTCGTACGTGGATATAAAAGTACAAATCTTATGACATAACTTTCACCTCTCCGAAAATGTAATTTTTGTAAAATTACTTCCTTTGAGTTATTTTTTATATTTATATAATATATTTGTGCACTCGGCTGGCTTCTTACGATATCCATCGTTTTTTTTTTTTTTTTTGGTGGTGAATATAGACATCGCAGTTGTTTAAAGGATCTTATCGGTAAGCATATAATTGGATTACGTTGACAAATATCAGACGATTTCTATCGTCCACGATAGGCGACTCATGAATTTCTTGGATTGCGTTTTAAGAACAGTGTAAAGGTGAGAATATTAAAAAAATAATACCGTTTGATCTTCGGTAAACTTTCAAAGTATAGAGAAACCATCAAAGTGCCACTCGTACGTGATTGTATTCCACTCGTTTTTGGTTCTACAAACATCTATATTCACTTATTTTAGTTATTACTTCGTGTCAGGGGTGTCGATTTTAAATCACATTTAGACGTTTTGCCATATAGATTAAAGATTATTAATGTTATTGGAATATCTTAATATATACTCAAATGTATGTGTACGTCTTAGTAATTAATTATAATCTTATATTTACATCAAATTAGGCATTATATGTTTAAATTTTAAAAGTAATTTTAATTATCATTACATTCGTGGAGGATTACATAAAACTCAAAATTATTTACCGAACAGCAATTATTTCCGTAGACGATTTCAGAGATTTTTTCCAACTATAATACTTAGTATGAAATAAGTATAAAATGAATATATTTTATTATCTTTGTCAATACTTACGATGATACTAATTTCAAACAAACTTAGCAAGCATAATATCATTATATAGATAGTAAGATAAAATAAGCATTTTACTACTCCACTTTATTTATTTGTTTTTTTATTAAAAAAAAAAAAAAAAAAAAAAAAAAAAAAAAAAAATGATTTTCTTACTTTTAAATTATTTTATGCCAAATTATTATCAATATTTGAACATTTTTATGCAGTAGCTACTTAATTAAATATATTAATCCAACATTTATAGTTTTAAATGTTCAATACATGTATATTGCTAGTGATATGTCGAACCCTAATTTTAAAATCGAACCGAACTTAAAAATATTTTTTTGAACCCGAACCTAACCGAACATTTAAATTTTTTACCGAACTGAACAGAACCGAATCTAGAAAAATTTCAAATCGAACTCGAACTCAAATTCAAATATTTTTCAATAATTTGAAAAATAAAACGGCTGAACACTGTAGTCATTGATTTTATGTGTAGATCAATCGAATGTATTCAAATTTTTTAATGCTTATGATTGTGAAATCAATATAATATAAAAATTCACAATACATAGAAGTATAGAATTTTAACATGTTTTTATCAGCAAAACAGCCGTGAAAGCGAAATAATATACTATGTACTCTTCTAATATACTCAATTTCTCAAAATAAATTTTTTTCGTTTCAATAAATATGATTGAAATAGAAATCAATACTGATATGCAGTCATACCTAATCATTATTAACACCAAACAATTTCAAATTTTTAAAAATTACTTTTGAAGAATTGTAAAAATTGATTTTCAAATTCAATACTTAATCTTTGAACTATCGTGGCCAGTAAGTCTGGTTTGACAAATATTAACAAGTTAAATTTTCGAATAGTACCAAATTATTAATAGTTCGGTTCAAATTTTTTCATACAGAGTTCGAATTTTGAACCGAATCAAACATCAAGGATTCGGCTCTGTTCGAAATCACTCATTACTAATTATTATCGATTATTTTTTATGACTTACTCGTTAAATTATAATACATTTTGAAATGTATCATACTATAATATAATGCAATAAATGAAAAAATGATTTTATAATTTTTTTGTTGAGTAGCATGTCATTCACATAATAGTGTACGCCCCCAAGTGCAACACCCTTGAACATAATCCATTATCACTCCTATTAAATGATTTAAATTTACTTTTTAAATTTTAAAACCCGAATATTCTGAGCTTATTAAATATTCAAAATAAAAATAAAAATAATTTATAGTTGCTCTATATTTTTAATTACATAAAAATTCATTGAATTGTCTACAATGCATACAAAAATCATCTAAATCAAATTTTTTTAAATTATAAAATTTTGTAATAACATTATACATAAGGCAAAAATGATATACACTGTACAATTTTTATTTAAACTTCATAACTTAATAGTAAATTCATTTAATTGATATATGGAATACAACTATAAATTATATTCACTTCATTTATCGAAGATTTATTAATTAAATATCTATTTAAATTATATGAAGTGTTGTTCCTGTTTTATAGAAAATTATATTAATAAGAAAAATCATAAAATATATATTATGATGGATAAATCTTGAAGTCAAGTTGTTAAAAATGATTTTAGTCTTCCAAATGTACAAATATAATACAATTATATTATTATACTCACGTAAACTATAAATAAATTTTAGTTAATATATAATAGGTAAATATATAAGTGACTATAAGGATTCAAAATTCATATTGTATAAATGTATAACATACTGATTACTGATGAGTATGAGTCGATGCACTGAAAAAAAAAAATTTAAATGATCACAGGTTTTGGGTTAAAAATTAATCACCTATAGCATCTAATTTGACTGAATATATATATATGATGAACTTAATTAACACTAACTACTTACTAATTATAAAAAATATGTACAACGATATATAAATAATTTATTTTGCTTTAAATAAATCATATTATAAATTGAAATTATGTTACATATAAAGCCGCAATGTGCCATGTATATTTTTTAGATAACACCTTATACTAACACCTTTTTTTATTTAACTTTTAACTTCTAATACACAACATTGTAAACCTTATAATATTCTTAAAATATTTTTGCATTTTAGTAAAAATGTGAACTTATTTAAATCTTGAAATATTTTTGTATTCAATTTTTATTTGTAAAATTACATAATTACTTATGATATGAAACGTAAAAAATGTTGATAAATGTAACAAGTAATATGATATATATTTTAAAAATAAAATACGTAAATGAAATCTTTTAAACTCATAAAAGTATAATCAATCTTCACTTACTGTTAATTTTTTAAATAAAACTTAAGTTGATTTCGTTTTTCCAACGATTACATTTGGAGACGAATTTTGATAACATAACCTCCACCACCATTCAAGTCTGCACATTTTATTTTATTTTATTTTATGAATTCTTGGGACCATAGCAAGGGAGGCGAGGGGTATCTATGCCTCGACTGCAATTCCTAGGTGAGCGTGAAAATTAAAAATTTACATTTGATGTTAAAAAATACTACGGTTAATGCTGTATATATTATTTACAAAAACTTAAACATCCTTTATATTAATTGAAGCAATTGTTGAAAATAATATCTAATAATTATATTTTTTAATTAAAATTACATAAAGGTGCATTTTTAAATTACATCTTGGGTGCAATATTTGGTTGCTACAGTGCTGCGGGTCCCTTGAAATATATGTAGTATTTTGTAAGTAAGTATATACGGAATATTCCGTATGTGTAAGAGTAACGAAAAATATTGTTTATATTTTAATTAAAAATTTTTACTTTAAAATCGTCAAAACATCCAATTCTATTACACTTAAAAATAATAGATATTATATAGATATAGTATCGAATGTTATCATTAATTATTGACGTTAAATTAAAAACAAATATATTATAACATAAATAATATGAATTAAATTTATTTTAATGTTTTTAAATAACTAAAATATAGTTAAATACAAATCTCTATTGTTAAAATAAAGTTTTAATATTAATATTAATATAATATATTTGTAATATATTTAAGAGAAATTGAAACTGAAATTGACATATACATATTTTAAGTCAAATCAGTACATTATAAGAAATTCAAACTGGTAACCTAACCTAGTAATATTACAAAACGCTTTACCCTTTAACACATTATATGTATAATTAAATCTTATCTTGAATAATATATAATATAACATCTTTTATATTAACTGAGTTTATATAATAACATTGGTTTTCTTCTCACAAAATATTTGTTACAAATTTAGTTTATTCATGGTTATTATATTTGGTTCCAGAACAACGGCACTCTAGGGACTCTAAAATCAATTATTTCCCATAAATTGGAATAGAAAAATCACAAAAAAGAGCTAACCAGAATACAAGGGTACTCTCACATTTGTGTATCGAGTAAACTTCTTATAGGCGACGTCTTAAATAATTAAAAGTATCACTTAAGACATAAATTGTAGGATAATAATAATATTAATAATAAAAATACTTGTACAACTGGTCAGAAATAATATATGTTTATCAATATTTTATTATATTTATTAAAACGTATTTCATAACTAATCTTTATTCATTGATTAGCTAAAAATGACTTATTTGTGGCTTATAAATTTTAATTTTATAATTTAAAAATGTATCAGTAAAGATTATATTTTAATTAATTATAATAATTTCAACTAAATTTTAATATTATTGAAAAATAATTTTACATATTTTTATTATTATTAGTCTT